ACATACTTCACCTTCACACGCTGCCTGGTTAAGCACATACTTCACACGCTTCCTGGTTAAGCACATACTTCACCTTCACACGCTGCCTGGTTAAGAACATACTTCACCTTCACACGCTGCCTCCTTAAGCAGGTGTGAATTCTCCGCCACAGCTCCATGTCTCTGGGCCCCGGAAGCCCCTGGTCTTAGTCTAGAACAGCCTTGCAGAGGAGGCTCGGCTGCTCCCTCTCTGGGGTGACTTGCATGTCTGTTTAGGGGTACGGCTGTCCCCCTTGTCTGGAGTTTTGCTTTCCACAGTTTTAATGGAAAACTGCAGCTAGAAAATACTGCATGGAACATTTCCTAAGTAACAATTCCGTACATTTCAAATTGTGCCGTTCTGCGGCGCCATGCCCTCTCCGGTCGGGGGAGAGCCAGGCCCCGGTGCGGGGCAGTCACACTGTGTAAGCGTCGGCGCCCTCTCTCCTCGCCGACACCAAACCCAGAACTTGGGCTTCCAAGGAGCACAGGCGGCCACAGAGGGGCCTGGGGCAACCCTCAGGGAGCAGAGTCCTGGGAGGAGGCGGGAGGGGGACCCACGGGTCCTGGCCAGCCATAGTCACCACCTCCTCGGTCTAGACCCCACCGACCGCGAGCCGCCTTTGCCCTGGCCTGGCCTTCGAGGGTCCCGGGGCGCAGTTAGAGGTTAACTGCAACATGCTGTTTGCCCGAGCTCAGGGACCCTTACAGAGCGCCCCAACTGCACCCCAGCGCCGGCGCCCTCCACTGTCCCTCCCTCCCTCGGTCATCTCGGCGTGGAAGCGGGAAGCATCCGCAGTGGACGGAAGGAAGGGAGCGAGGGGCGGTGGGCCGCGAGGAGGTGCGAGGGCCCGCGCCCACTGTTTTATGCGGTTCCTGCCCGGGTGCAAGCGAAGCCGGAGCACAGGTCCGCAGGGGAGCTCGGAGTCTCCGCGGCCCACGCCCGAGCGCACCGTCGGTACGAGGCCCCGCGCGCGGGCCCAACGCCCACGCCCTCTCCCCGCCAGGACTCCGAAGGCGAGGGCGGCATCCGGCTCGGGGTTCCCCCTTCATTCCGAGGGCGGAGCCGCCTCCTCCCGTCCGTGCAGCCGCTCGGCTCTCGCGCGCCGCTGCCATCCGCGTCCAGGACGCGCTGAGCCGGAGGCCGGACCCGGGAGACTTCCAGAGGGGCTCGGGGCCACCCGGAGCACACAGCTGGGCAGCGTCCCGCCGCGCCGCGGAGCCCGTGTCGCCTGCTGAGCCCG